GTGATTGAACACTATTTTTACAAAGTAAATGAGCGTTTACCGCTTCGAAATATAAGATTTCGCATTTCACGGGTACATCATGAGGCTAATTCAAAATCGAGATTTATGGAAATTTTATCGCCAAAGACCCCACAAACCGGGGCGAAAAACACTCATCAGAAAAAGGAGAAAAAGCTGCATCGAATGACACCTTAGTTGTGCGCCGTTTTATGTTCTATGGCTCTTGGCATCACCAAAAGTGGAATTTGATAGCATCAGAAAAACAATATTAAAAATATTTCAAGGCTAGCTTCACATGCCGAAAACTTGCATTGCATTGTACTTTGGTTACTCTATCCGACTGCTATCAAAGCTTTTTCAAATGTCAAAAAAGGAGATAGTGAAAATTGCCAAAGTTGGACATGGTAAAAACCATGGGTTCGCAGTTTCGGCCATTCTCTCACTGACCACACGAACAAGCGGCACAGGAATATGACAGTCAAAAAGAGGAAGAAAAGCTGCGTCGGATAGTGCCTGGAGCGTTTCTTTATGTTTTCATGATATGCTGAAAAAACGGAAAGAACTTTCGGAATGACCTAATATTATTATATTGTTGTTGTTTGTGAGCGTGACCGAGATTGTTACAATACTTTCTTCAGAGCCTGAAATGGGTAATACGATCTGCAATCCATTCGACAACGTCTCTGCAGCAATGTGAGCAAACTGTCAAGACTCCTGTTAGACCACTAGTTCAGCTGATAGCCGATAGCCAAACACTCACCTTTTGGGTTACGCGGACGAAATTGATGCGAGAGCAAGATGAATGACTGACCGCATAAGGGGACCACTATTTATAGCAGAAAACTAGGTCAGAAGAGCTGACCGAGGTAGGGCGCGATTCACGCGTGATCGTTAGGCCTTCGTTTTTGCGAGTTTTTGGGTCCAAAAAGCTTCCAAACATTTGCAAGCTGAAGTTTGGGATTCGTGTGCCAGAATTTTCACCGAATCTCCGAAATTTGTTCCCTCATGTTTCTGAACCCGGTGAGTGCCCAGAGGAGTGGATGTGCTCGATTTATCTCTGCATCCAAGTGTTCCTTGATGCAAACACACAACGGGCGCACCGTCTCACCTATGTATTCCTCGCCGCAGTCGTCGCAGGAGATCATGTAGATGACCCCGGTGGCCATGCAATACCCGCCTCTCCCTGAGGGCATATAATGCAATTTGGCGTGATGCAGGAGCGGTCGTAAAGACGCTTGCGAATCAATAAGCTCTTCAAACTGCTCGGAGGCAATTCTACAATCGTAACTGAATTTCGTAGCCCTGCTCTCCTCAGGCACCGCCGCAATGAGGTGCTTAGTTCATCGAAGATAAAGGGAACGCAAAAGGCTACTTTCTCAACTGCAGACTGTGGGCTTACTACAGAATGTTGCTCTTTCCTACTCCTAGGTGCCCTTGCATGATTTTCGTAACCGTTGGAAGAGGCTATGCTGCGGGCAAGTGCCCATGATTCCACCCTTTCCCGTTGTCCACTGCAAATTTGAGATGCTGTGCGGAACATGTTTCTAATTACAGCCCTTTTTGTTTGGAGTGGATGCGCTGATTGAAAGTGGATAAGAATATTTATATTGCTGGGCTTGCGGTACCATTTAGTTGCATGCATACCCGAAGAGATGTTGATTGGCACATTTAAAAACGGTAACTATTCGCTGCTGGGCTTCTCCCTAGTAAGCTGTATGTACTGCGATTGCTCGTTGAGTAGCTGGAAGCATTTGTCAACATCTGCCTGAGTGGCGCAGATGATAAAACAATCGTCTATATACCTACAGTAGAGCTTACTCATTAATCGCGCGCCACTTTAGGCCTCTGAAGACGAGGATTGCTCGAAACTTAGGCCGCTCTACTAATAAAGCTTCGCCGGAACCTCGTGTTGGCACAACCAGGGTCAAGCAAGGGGGGTGGCACACGATCGCTGGTCACGACCCCCCCCCCCTCCCGCTGATTGCTGTCTCAATAGGACCCCCCCCCCCCTGAACTATATACCTAAGATAGCATTACCAGAGTTGAGAATGAGTCCAGGCACAAGTCTTTCAAACCCCCCCCCCTCCTCCCATGAAAGCCCTCAAACGACCCCTTCTTCCTCCTCTTAACCTCTGTACCTCAAAGTGTGACATTCTGGAGGACACCATCTTTTTCTAGAGAGTTTTCAGATTTCTGAGAGCTGTACGCCAGATTTTCTGTGACTGCACTTTACAATCACACGTAATTTGACGGCTGATTCTGATCTGAGTGGGCATATTGAAGGGGCCATAATTTTCTTATGGGTGGGGCGTTCGGCTCCAAATTCCCAATGTAGCAAGAAGAAGCTATGTGCTCAATACTCATACCAGCAATGGAGCGCTTTCTGGATTTTGAAGGCAAGTTAAGGGGGGTACAGCGGCAGCCGCAGCTTTTAAGGGGGTGTGCCGCACCCCATTAACTATATCAAAAAACATTTTTAGCGAACAGTATTTATCTGAATCGATAGCCTAAACCTTGTCTCCATAGGACTGTTTAAAGCCTGATTTGTCTTCTTAGCTTTAAATAATATTTGGTGAAAGCACAGCAATCAAAAGCGAAAAATGGAAAAAACCGAGACTTTGGATGGCTTCTAACTCCACAGTTTGCAGGTCTTCTGAAGCGGGATTCCTAAGGTGGACAAAGAAGGAGTAGTGCTTTGTCTTGAGTGCAAAAACGGATAGCTAACTCACCTTTGAAACAAAGTTAACCATGTTGGAATTTGACCATTTCATTTAGGTAGCCTAGTATCTTGAATCTTCAGAATTCGCTCACACTTTGTCTACAGGGGTTAATTGACATGTCAATTATGGATATGATACGAATAACATGTTATCGCTATTATCAGGTTACCCAACTACGACTCCCTCCCCTTTTGACTCCTCAATACGACCCCCAGGTGTGGCGTGCCGCACCCCACGCTTGACCCTGGGCACAACTAACAAATAAACAACTCAATTATGTATGAAAATCACGCTTTTGAGACGTCAGAAAACACTAGAAAACGTATTATGTTTGTGGTACGGGTACTTGACATGGTGATTACGAAAATGAAATCCCCAATTCACGCGGCAAGCTTCTTTGGTGACCTTACGGGGTATGTGTACGGTAAGAGATGAAAAACTGAAATTTGGTTGAGGCTCCGTTAGTGGAGTTAATCAATATCCCATTTACAACAGTCATTCCTTCTCTGGGGCAGTTGTGATATTCACCAGTCTAGCGCTTCTCTTCTTCACCTTACTTGACCGTTATATCTCCTCAATCTCAACAACTTCGTCTTGTTACGATCCCCCCCCCCCTCCCATACGACCCAACAGGCCGGGCACGCCTGGCCCCACGCGCAACCCTGGGTATATTCGATTCGATATCGCCTGTGTAAGGATGTGCCTACAATCTAATGCTGTCATCTACTATGTACAACGGCAAAACATCACTTGTTTTTTGTTGGAATTAACAAAGAAATGTTAGAGCAATCAAAATAATATTCTATACTTTGCTTGAGAACTTCTGGTCGCCAAAAGGGAGAATTGCCCACAACAATTAAACAGGAAATTTTGAAAGAAGAATGCAATATGTAGTGTGCATGGACCTCTGGTTCTCAGTGATGTGAGAGGAAAGAAGTCCCTTGGACATTTGGAGCTTGCAATTGAAGCTGAGCAGCTCTGTTGGCTTTCTACGAATTCGAATACGAGTTCGAATAAAACTTCTGACTAAGACGTCCGAATATTTTTTCGTTCAAAAAGCGCTTCATCAACAATCCGAGTTTTCAAGTTTTATTCGAAAATTGACTCTTGAATTCAATTTTGAACACAAATACATAAAAATACAAAAAATAAAAAGTACAAAAATACAAAAATACAAACACAAAAATACAAAAATGTAAAAAGATACATTCTGAAAATACAAAAAATAAAAAATACAAAAATACAAAAATACAAATACAACAATACAAAAATCAACAATGCAAAAAGAGAAAAAGACAAATACACTCAAACACAATTTGCACATTTGTGAGCGGTATTGTATAAGTTGGCACGAGTTCTGCTGCAGCATTTTCAAATCATAATTTTTGGTTTTTTCAACCGATTTGTTCGCCTCACTTTTAGTGAAAGAGCGAACCATGTTCTCCATAACCGTGATTCGGCTGCTTTTTGCTAAGTATACTTCGCAGATAGATAGATACAAGCGATAGAATAGAATTTTATATATTCTGATTTTCCTTTGTTCGTAAAAATCTGAAACTTGCAATGAAAATGAAGTCGAGGTTTTACTACCTGTTTTTTCGCCGAAGTTTATGCCAATTGAACGTCTCTACCAATAGTTATGATTTTTGAAGCAATCAAACAAAACAACATATTCAGTTCTTTTGGCTTTCGTTTCAAAAGTCATACCTTTTCACAGAAACGTTCAACCAGCACAAATTTTGCTCTCGAACCTTTGATACCGACTTCTCCGAATCTTACGCAAGTTTCAGCTTTTTACGACAAAACCAGAAAACCAAATTTTGAGTAGTTTTCTAGTAGCTTCTATTTATGCAATGACGGGTAGAGAGCCGCCAAAATTTTGTTAGAAAAAGCATGATTTACTTTTTCAATGGTCAGGAAAACGGAAGACATGAATTTTTGAAAAAGAAGCGGCAGAACTTTCATGCCAGCCTAGTGTAATTACCCTAATTTCACGCGTACAAGGCGCGGGGTGGTCCTAGCTTTTCTGCTCAGCCGTCCCAACGTGTTTTAAGAAGCGATCCTTATGCCGCACGATTCGTCAGGCAGCACGCAGCACGGTATGGGGTTCCTTTGGTTGTGAAGTCCTTTGCCGTGTTCGGGCTGGTCACCGTCATGAAAGCTAGGACCACCCCGCGCCTTGTACGCATGAAATTAGGGTAAATGTCTTTTTCAAAAAGGCAGAATTTCATACCAAAGTATACTACATAAATATTTTTGAAACGCAAAATTCGGTAATATCTATTTACCATTTGGAACAACGAATGCGCAGTAGAGCCAAATACCCGACCATACATATGTGTAAGCTTGACAGACAAACTTAGGGTGCTTACTGAGCATCTGAAATTCTCACTTGGTTCAAACGAGACTTGAAGGATGAACGGAACTTATGAGGGAATGGAACTTATTATGTCTCATATTTCTTTACTGTTTGTACCTTAAACATCAGCATTCCTCAAAAACTAAGGCATTCACGAGGGTTACAAATACACGATACAAATACACGATTGTGTCTGTATGTATGAGCTACATAATCATATACGTGGGAGAGAGATTTAGGGACATCTAGGGGCGGAGTTTGCCATTTTACTTCATTCATTTTTTTTCTTTATTCCTAGCCAAGGAAAAATTCGGAAATCGTAAATTTGGACATGCGATGTGTGAAGCATATGCTAGGATAAATGGAGCATTGTTTGGAATTTAGGGCGGAGATACGATTTTTGACAGTGAAGTCCGTTTTTGACGCTCTCAGATCTCAGCTCAAAACTTGTGGAATACGATTTGGCCAGACTTTCGACAGAAATCTTGTGGAGCTCGCGTTGCCCTATTTAGTGAGTACCCAAGCCATATCAGTGAATGAAAGATACAGAAAGAGGCGGATGTAGTAAAAAAAACGGTAAAAAAATTATGAGACACCCTAATACATACCCGGAAAGGCCTCCGCCACGGTTAGCACAATTCATGAGAAGTCATGAACTAGCAGCAGTTCTAATTTGCATTCAACTAGCACCGAGGAAATCTGCACAATGTAACTCCTCCATCATTCTACACTTTGTGAGACCGGGGATTTTACAGAAATTTCGAACTTGAAGTTGAGTCGTGATTCTTGTCCAATAAGCATAAAATTTTGTATTTGGAGGTATTCTGTCATGCTGTTTTCGATTATGATGGTGGTTTCGTTAAACTTGGGATTCCTTATCTTTTTGATTTTGAACTTGTTTTCACAGATTTTCCGTCAAAAAACTCCAAAATTGTTATTCGAAGGTTTTCTATGACGCTTTTTACGATTACGTTGATGATTTTGCTTAGGACTTCAAATTTTTCTTTCAAAATTTCAACTTCTTTGGAAAATTATTATAAAGTTTTGGTAAATTTAGTACCTAGGCGTTTTCTGCCAAGCTGTTTTCGAATGCGATTATGGTTCCGCTTAAAACCTTGATTTGTTTCTTTTCAAAAAAACTTTTTCGCATCCTTGCAAATATGAAGATAGTGACAAGGGCTTTTTTATCGTACCATTTTCGATATGCTGGTGGTTTTACTCAAATCCCCAAAAGATTCCGAAATACTTGATAACTGAGGGAGGATATTTCAAAATTTGAAGGATTTGTGAGTTTGTCTTCGTTATCAGTTTACCAAGCTTGCAGTAAATTTGTGAAGAAGATAGGTGAAACCAGAAAATTCAAAGGTTTGCAAGTGAAACCACTATCATGTTCGGAAGCAGCATGACAGAAAACCCGCGAGTATACACCAATTTTAATGAATTTTTTTTGAAGAAGATGAAATTCTGAAAAGAAATTTAAAGGTTTCGGCAAGACCATTAGCGTATTCGGAAACGCGTCTAGAAAACCCCAACAATTTTAAAGTTTTTGGCGGAAAGCTTATGAAAACAAGTTCAGAGTTCAAGTAGAAGAAAATCCCAAAGTTTCAAGCAAGGACACCATCATATTTGATAACAGCATGACGAAATATAAGGTCGTTCCGAAAGTAATTTCGCTTTTTTCAAATGAACGCCAAATTTCGTGGAACCAAGATTTTCAATAGCTCTTGGGATCAGTCGATGCAGCATGTCTTCCCAATGTTTCCAATTTTTGTGCATAATATTTAACGAACTCTCAAAAAATTACCAAAACCTGCGACTCATGCTTTCTGTCATGATCAAGTTCCACCATTCTTTTATATTTTTGTGCTGATTCCCCGTGAAATGCTGCATCGAATGCTACCAAGATCTGCTAGAGATCTTGCTTCCACGAAATGTAGCGTTCGCTTGAATAAAGCGACATTACCTTCGGAACGACCTAATCTTCCAAATACAAATTTTTACCCCTATTGGACAAGATTCATTACTGAACCTCAAGTTCGCTTGGACTACAGCACTAATTTGTATATCTCTTTGCCTTCATTCTTATTTCGTCTAGGAACTTATTTTGCACTTCCTTGGGAACTACTGATGAGGGGCGTCAAGGAAGTCACATACCCGGTCTAGTTCTTAGCCCCGAAACCGGTTATGTGGAAAATTAAGTAACGTCTTACTTTTCTAAAAGCTATTGTCGCACACTTTAGTATTTTAACACTTCTCTCTATTATTTCAATAAAATCGCCATCTTATAAGATGTAGGGCGGCCAAGTTACCGTGTGCAGAATTAGCTCTCCTCGGTGCTATTCAAGTGAAAATTAGAATTGCTGCCAGTTCATGACCTCTCACGAACCTTGCTAACTACAAGGTGGCGAGATATTCCGATATGTAAGTTCCCTCACGCAACCTGAAACAGTAAATCAATACTGAAGCTTTTTCAGTATAGGTTTTTGTTGCCTCTTGAACTTCATTGTGGCATATACAGTACACGACACTATTCGCCTGTTTCAACAAAACACGTATTTCAGGTTCAGAATGGAAACTCATAATAATAATAATTCATTCAGCGCCTTACTATCAAACTTGCTTACCTCGCAGGTTTCCTTCGTGTTACCAGAACGGTGGTAACTAGTGATGTACTTGACGTGCTCTTCTCCTATTGTGGACCAATTTTTTGACGTTCTTATCGTACTGTCGCTGAAGTTCCAACTTTTCATAAAACGAAATTAAGAATGACAAGCTGATCCGCACAACTCACATAAACGAGTAGAATATACGAGCTATATGATAAGGTTTCCACCAATAGTAAAAATACTCATAAAGATAGTGATACATCTTTCTATCGTACCTCTGTAAGAAATTCATTGAAGAAGTAACAATGAACTTTTGAGGGTATTTAATGTAACGGTAAAAGTTACTCCAAAGTCGCGTGCAAGTCAGATTTTTAGTAGCTTGAATTTTTCACTTCAAAAGCACGCAATTTTCGCAAATCGCAACAAGATAGCTTTTTTTCTACAACTGCAAAGTTCTCGAGGAGCTCTTCCTATATGTGCAATTTATTGTTTGATTTAAATCTCATTTTTTATTCGATTTTTTGGTTTGGATCCCCGAATTAGCGCTGCACAGCACTGCTGAAACGGCATTTATTGAGCCGTTTTCAATATCATCGAGTAATAGCAAGCCACATGTTCTCATAGATTCATAAAGACAATGTGTTTTGAGATCAGAAAAGTTTTTGGGGTTATCTATAGGCGGGCTTTCTACAAGAAGCTTAGGGTATCTCAACCACTTGTAATCTTTCAGCGACACATGATTCTACTGAAAATGCAAATCTGCAAAAATTTTGATTTTTTAATTAAGTCATGCACGTTTAAAGCAACATTTGAAGTTATGAGATATCGCTAACCAGAGAGGTCGTTAAGTTGAAACGTCTGCAGTGTTCATCGAAATACTTTTTGAAACTGTCTCGCAGACCATCTTCCTTATCTTTATTTTCTAGGTTGTAGTGAGTCAATCCGAGATCGGTGTCGAAAGTAATAGCATGACCTGACGAAAGCAGGACCGACGATAGCTGAAATGATCATAATCATTGATGTGAATTCGCAAAGAATGCAACTTACAACGAAGAGATTGTAAAGCAACATTCTGTAGCAGATCTGCTTACTCTTCGAACACTTATGTGCTGGCGAATATTGACGCAACATGAAAGCTGTCAGACATAAGCTGATTGGACTCTTGTGATTGTTCGAAATTCAATGGGAATGTGACACTCAAAGCGCGCTATCGTAGGCGGCTATTACGCTTGTATAGCGCACTACAGACTTGTTTATTGTACGAAAGTGCATTTTCAATGAATAAATGATGACAGTACCATGTGAACTTCCGCTACTGATCGTTCGCAGTTTTGAATATCTCACAATGAATCAAAGGCTCTGTTGTCTTTAGAGTTGGGCATGCTGAGATTTAGTAGTTTAGTGTTTGCCAATCACGCTTGTTAGTGGATGTTCATTCAACTGACGTTTCTGCGTATATCGCGTTATACAGAGGTCTGAACGTACAGTTGAGTAGATTCAGCGGTAAATATAGTGTGCTTGCATAGAAGGTGAGATGCGGTAAAATTTGCGCGTGAAGAAATAGCTTCGACTGTGACGCCGACCAATTGCGCGCGCACGATTCCCGCAATACTGGCGTGGCTACTTGTTCAAATTTCACCGCATTTCACCTTCTGTGCAAGCACACTATATTTACCGCCGAATCTACTCGACTGTAGCACATATTCCTTATCGTTAGATGTGGCCTAAATCGTTTAGAGTTTCCCGTTTCTCGTCAGTCTGGACCTAACGTAAAGGTGGCAGCGTTCACAAACATTTTGAAACAATTTCAATCTAACCAAACCCATGCCGTTTAGCAGTAAGAAAGTAAAAATAACGAAAGTTAGTGAAAGTCAATCAGTAAGTTAAATGTAGCTGTAAACTTTGAATTGATGCACTTTGCAGTACATTATTAGTAGACAAACAATCTTTTTCGGCGTTCATTGATATCTTGCAAAGTTCCGCTCTCCCTCAAAAATTGTTTGTGCGGTAATTGTACCCACATCTTACTTCAAAAGTGTTTCGACCACACGCACGGCACACACACGGCACCACACAGCACACTCACAGCACACACACGGCACACACACGGCACACACACGGCACACACACGGCACACACTAAGTCACATAAACATCCTTAGTCCGTCATTGTAAGTAGTACTTTTCGCATGATTCCTTCGCAAACGAGAGCTCAGGAAGGGTTGAATTATTTTCATTACGCACCAATCCTGGAATGCCGCCCATTATTGTATTGCAGATTTATACATAGACGATTGTTTCATAATTTGCTCAACTCAAGCAGAAGTTGACAAGCTTAGCGAACAATCTGCATGCATTAAGCTTACCAGGAAAAGGTCCAGCGGACTTGTTGCATTTTTGAATGTGCAGATTGATATATCCTTAGGCGCGCACGTCACAAAATGGTATCGCAAGCCTAGTAACAAAAACATTTTTGTCCATTTTAGCTCATCCACGTTAAACAAGGGAGGCAGATTTGAAATATGTATGTTCTGTACAGCCCTTCGTGTTTGTTGTGGAAAACAAGAGAAGGCGTAATCACTTGAGCTTGCGCGGAAAATCGCTGCCTCTAAGGATATGAAAATCGAAGAGCAAGAATAGGTGAAAATCGCAGTACTCAGGTAGACAGAACGAGCGCAAGTGAAAATCTTTTTTGCATCTCCTATATTTCCTAAGCACTGCACTTCGACGGTGTGTGGAGTAGTGCGGGTTAGAAAATCAGTTACAATTGTAAAAAATTAAATAATCTTGAGAGCATTTTAGTGAGCAGCAGTATGTATGATCGCGTCTGCCTTATGCCTAATTGTATCATCTGCCCTGGGGCAGGGGCGGGATTTGCATAACGACGGGGATTGCCTATATTATCACTTGCGCGAGGCGGTGACAAGTACATAGGCAAGACAACAGCGGCCGCTGTGTGTTCGCATAGAAAAGCATGAAGGCACTTAACGATAAATAGCCGTGGCATATGCGTTTAGCCGTTCAATGTTCGCTCTGGCAATAGAATATCGGCTTTTTAGATGATCCTCTTTCAGGCAGCTAACTACTGATCCACCAAAGCTTTGAGTTTTGTTTGCATGGCTGCAGAGAGTTGCTTGTCAAATATGCAAGTCCACTCCAAGCTCTGAAGAAGACGACTTGCCGAAAGGTCAGCCAATAAATTATTGACAATCTCGGGACAAAGTTTAAAACTACACATTACTATATCAACACCATGCCGAGATTCATAGAGAGTAGCACATTCATTTTCATCACACTGCTTTGCCATTACACATGGAATAAAAGTTTTTGGACAACGCGAGCGATGGCAGATTCTGGCCATTTTTGTCGCGAACGAAAGAAATGGAGTTCAAAAGTTCATTTTCCCGTTATGGACTCTCGTGGATATGAATCCTGCACTATGCCATTTGCCGCATTTACCAGCTGTCGACATCATTCGTACTCTATTCCAAACGCGCTGAACAAAACACGCCGCTTATCGCTTACAACTCTTTTCACAGAATCTTGCGCAGACAATGAACACAACGCAAAAGACCAAAAAAGTGATCAAATGCGCGACCGATCAATGCGTATTTCTTTCTCAACAATTTCATTTCACTGCTTTTAAAACAGTGCTTCTGCTGCGAAGCAAGCCCGAGCAAATCTTCATTCAGAGATTCCTGACCTGTATAGAGAGAGATCATGTTTGAGCACTACGACAGCAGGCACGTGATCTCAACAACAAAGAGCATGGCGGCGGCAGGGCCTTCGTAATTTACAGGGCCAGATTATGAGGCCATAGACATATCAATATCAAGGCGTCGGTCTCTGAGAAACTACTTGCTTGGATAATCCTGATAAATCTGTTTTCTCCTTAATGCAGGAAGTTTAGTAAACAGACTTGTAAAATTTATCATTTCGTTCATTTTTATAAGTTAGCGTTTGTTTTTGTCACCGAGTCTTGGCTCAATAGCAATGTTACTAATGGAGAAATGACCTAACGTACACTATTCTAAGAAGAGATCGGAAAGTAAAAGTGTACTGGATGTGTGTGCACATTAGTCCAATATGATGTTTCATTTCGATATTGGTGTGAGACTTTTTCTATCAGGTACTCGTTTTTATTTAATCCTTATGTTTCTGATAATGTCAGATTTGTGCTCATTTATTGATTACCCAATCAGACTTCCACTCGCTGTGAAGAACTTATCAAATTTTGAAAATCTAGCAACCTTCACAAATAATAAGAGCATCATATTTCTTGGTGATTTCAAATTTGCCTGTGTGGTTCGGTCTGAAATTGATGCTAGCAGTTCCCTTCCGGCTTTTTTTCATTTTTTGAGTGCCTGAGGCTGTCACAATCTGTCACAAACCCCGCCAAAGGTACATCAATCTGATTTTCTAAAAAAGTGATGCTGTCTAGAAAATGCAAACTTATCCACTCTTAAGCAATGCCGTTTATAATATTATAGCTTTCCAGATCGCCCTTTCTGTTGAGCAAGTTGATGTTAATGAACATGTTCAATGCAGAAATTGTTCTCTTCAGAAATCAAGCTTTTGTTTCTTTGATAATCTCTTGAATAATCGTCAGACCTGCAACCCATGATTTTTTTCCTTCCTTTATCTTCGGTACTTCTTTAGATTTTTATTTCTACACTTTTGGATGATTTTTGGTCACAACTGAATAGGGTATAAGTATTAAAATGCAAAATAGTGCAATTTTACGGAATTTATAGCCGGTCTGACTATTATATAATTATTTTCCAGTGCTATCAAATTTCATATTTGATCTAAACCTCAAAGAACAAAAAATGCGAACAGCCAGGTCGTCGATCGATGCAGCTTTTTTTCCAATCTCAAGTTACCTTTGAACTTTTTCTGACAAGCATTTTCTTTCCGATTTGTAAAGCCTTCGAGGATAAACTTGGTACTACTCTTATAAGCGAATGCGTCCAAGGCTGTGCCCGAAAAAATCGGCTTTGATATTTCGAAGCGACAAGCGCTCATTTGCCTTGTAGAAGCAGTGTTCTATCAAAGTAGATTTAGCTCAACTTCAATCGACTTCGGGTATTTTGAATTTGAATTTCTCTGAGATGCTGCTTTCGGTGGTTTCGATAAGAACGTCTGCTAGTAAATTATTGCAAGCTTTGAAAAAAAGAACCTGTTTCGTATCCTACAAGGTTGCTCTACCATAGGGACTTGCGCTTCTTCAAATGGTCGGTAAAATTTGAAGAGATAGCGAAATATGAACGTGGCAAAACCCATATAACGCAGTCATGGTAATCTTTTTTGACAGAACTTTCTTGCATCTTAATAAAAATTTCTTCGAGTTAATTTTTTTGAAACTAGAAAGCATCCTCTTTATAGCAATACCTTCGCAGCAGTCTAGAATAAGAACATCCGATGGTCGGAAGCAACTAAAAATACTTAAAGTTGACATTTTCCAAGCAGGTTCACGAAAAATTCTGTAAAGTTCTTGTTCGATAAAATAATGCGCATTATCATAGCGACTTTGCTATGAATGAAAACGATAAAGATCGAGAGTAGAAGCCAATGAAAAAAATTCAGGTTTGGATTTCTGAGCATGCAAAAATTTCAAAAGCCTCACAGAGAGGAGAAACAGGCATAAAGGAGTTTTATGGTCTCCTCTTTCTTGCGCAAAATTCCTGTGAATCGAGAGCAGATTTGGTTTTCGTGAACTGCAGCCATCCGAATTCTACGAAAGTAAAATCTGCTCGATCAACACACTTGCTCATTTAGAAAGAAAAGGTCGTAAAACCCAAGTTTATGACTATTTCGGTCTCCGCTGTGACGTTTTTTGATCTTCTTGAGCGTGCTCAATATGTAATTGCGAAATTGAAGTAGTTCTCTTCATTTGCTTCTAAGACTCCATCTTTCTCGCTTTCATGGCAAAGGCACATGAAGTGATTGTAAATGATCACTTGTCCCTCATGGTGATCTGCCTCACGTACTCGATCGCAACCTAGAGTACGCGAGAAGTGAGCGCTATATAATGTTCTCACTTTTTGCCTCAGTGAGTTTTATTGCTCATTT